AGGTAGAAGGTTTGTTTAAAAAAAAAAGAGTGGATGGAAAGTTTACAACTTTCTTCCAGGCCTGATCCAGGCCTGATCTAAACCTGAAAATGTGAGAAATACTCTGAGAAAAGTTTTCAAAATTTCTTTCCTAGTTTTGTAAAAAGAGAGTTCTGCATTTTGTAAAAAGAGAGACTGCATTTCCTTTATGTTGATGTTCAGTTTCCCTGAAAACAGCGATTAGACAGCTACAGAAGTTGGCTCATATACCTTCAGTCACGGCTCTGTGGCTTGACAGGCTGAATAATAACTACCTAGTGAAAAAGCTGATAAATCCATTGTTAATTTGTATGTTAATAATATCTTTCATCTGACATGATGAAATATATATTTTTTTAAATATATTAATTAAATAATTAATTTAATAACAACGCCTGTGAAGGAGGTAGGTTAGCACAACTAGAGTTTGCTTCTCTCTCCCTGGCCAAGTAGAACTTGCATGTAATACTTTGAAAAATACTTTGAAAAATACTCCAAAAAATACTTTAGTGATTTAGGAATTTATGTCATTTTTAGGACTAATGGATATTGGCCGTTGTGTGAAGCGGTGTACATAACTTATTTTCAGTGGAGGTAAGTATGTAACCTTGAAGGCATCTTTGACACTTCCACAATATGTAGAGAGACAAGATCTTTTTAAACCTTAACTTCAAGACAAGTTTCAAGAACAGGAACTTTTTTTGGGGGTGTATGTAAATATCCTATACATAACAAAGGAGAAAATAATATGGTTACATTGCTGTTTTTTTGATAGCCTTTCTTCCGTAGTGCAAAGAATATTTAAATGTATTTGTAAGATAATGCTAATTGAAGACATAAAGGCAGGTGGAAAATATGATAAAAATATAAGAAAGGTTTGTGAAGATAGATTGTGTCATAGTAACTTGATATTATTCTGTGATAACTGATTTTCTAGTTAAAGGACACACAGTAGATCTAATCTGTCTGGGTTTCAGTAGATCATCTGATATGGTGTCAGAGAGAAAATTACTAGTTAAATTGGATAACATAGGAATTAGAACTAAAAATGTAATGTAAGTAAAAGACTGGCCAAGAGAGACAAAATTGGATATTATTAGAAGGGGACATTTCAAATTGGGAAAAGGTTACTTGTAGGTTCTTCAAAGACTGATCTTGGGATTAATCTTATTAAATACATTCAGTAAAGACTTTGTGCAAACCAGGTGTGAACTAATAAAATTCATAGCTGAAATTATGTCGAGAGGCATCATATGTGTAGTCATGGGTGAAAATATCATACAGAGAAACTTGAGGACTGGATTTACAGAATAGAGGCAAATTTAATGTATTTATGTGCACCGTCATGCACTTTTACACTGTTCACAAGATCTCCTGCTTTACTTAGAGGCCAACCTTTGGAAATGAGTGAGGAGGAGAAATATCTGACTGTATTGGTTGATTCCAAAATAATGTGAAAATGGAACTGTGTAACTCAATATTTGTAAGGTATATCTAAAGGAATTAAGGAAATATTCCTTCCTTTAACTGGAAAAAAAGACAAACTGCAAGAATAAGAGAGAAGAAGGAAGCTCTACTGTATAACCCAAAACTGAAAGTTATGTCCTTTTAGTCTGAAAAGTGGAAAAGTGAAAACCTGTTATTATTTACATATGACAAATTAGGCTAAATGTGGTGCATATATTAGAGAAAATAAATAGGCATAAATTTGCAATGAGCACATAATGACAGATAATCAGAATGGTGTTGTTTACCATACATAAATTGAGATTCTGCAACAGCCTGTCAAAATGGTCAGTATGGGAAAAGTCCTAGTTTTAAGTCTTCCAGAAATAGTATGTGATTTAATTGACATAAAAGCAGAGGTTTGGACTTGAAGACTCAGAACTGCCTTCAAATTCTATCATTCATTACCCTGTAAATAAATTATGTTAATTTAATTCAGAAAGCTTAATTTTTACAAATAATTTTCACACTTATATTCCATATGTAGTTATATTTACTACCAGATTTGCTCTATACCGTGATTGTAGGCAGATAGGACATGTCATCCTTAGGGTCATACAGTAATAATAACTGAACTAAAAAATGCAACCTAAAAATAAAAATACAATATTTCATGTATTAGAGTTTTTCATTAAGATGGTACAACTCCTTTAACATTGCTGCATATTCACTGCACTAAAAAAATCCAGTTTCAGATTTCTGACACACATTTCTTTCTCTAACCACTGTAGCCAACTGAGTTCCTAATATATGCATATGTATATATGTATGCATATACATCTCAGCCTTGGGCAGAGCATATATTTAAAATGGATTTACCAAAGTATTTCCACAGAGACTTATATTCCCTGGGGTTTGGGGCTGGGTTTTTTTTTTTGTTCTTTTTGTTTCTCCTGATGGTAGTTATAGGCTGCGCAGCATTATCTAGCTTGGAGGTGTAAATACACCCCAGAGAAATAGCCTGATTTAGTTTTCATAGTATAATTGATTATTTTGAATAATGTATGTGATAGCTAGGTAATGATTGGAAAAACAGTGTCTAAATGTGACTTGGTACCACTTTCTATAGTATCTGTAATTTGACAGCATAACATATTAGGTTGGCCTCACAGGACAAGATAACTGTTCCATTATTTTCTGTAAGCAAAATTCATTCAGCACATTGCCTGAGCCCCAGAAAAAGAATATGAATATGCAGAATTTAAAATGCATTTTTTAATCTGAGATAGTATAAAAATGATGCACAGGGTTAAATTATGGCTGTTTTTTTAATTTTAAATGGTTTATCAGAAAGGGAAGAACAAATGCCTCTGTGAAAACAAAAACTGAAACCAAATATTTACTAAAAAAATCAAACCCTTTTTTTAATAGTTGCAATATGACTGGCACTCTGCCTTAATTCTAAGGTGTTATGGGAGCTGCAATTAGAATGGGCTTATGCCATAGCACCAAAAATTTTCATTATATCATCCTAAACACAGCATGGTGTTGCATGGGATCTTATTTGTTTTACACCAGATTGACTTTTAGATGTACATGAGCCTGGAGTTTGATCTTGAGCAGCAGGCCAGGTCATAGAGTGTCTAGCTTGTCAGCAATACCATTTACTCTACCAGTCCATAGAGGCCTCTATAAGCAGCAAGCGTTTAAAGCAGATGCATTTTTAAGGATGTAGTCTGTGAAATATCAAAGTTAATTAATATTTAGGTGTACATGTAGAAACAGAACTGTATAAGAAGTACACAATGGATATGTTTTTGTTGCATTTTTTTGGTTACAGCTTGTAGGTCACTGGAGGGAAAAATGAACAAATTGATGGATTTGGTTATGTGTGAAATGGATATGTAACAAGGGAACTAGAAAATCTTTTACATTTCCAGAAATCAGAACTCCCAAGCTACCATATAATACTCCATTCCAATTTCATTCAGCTGTGATGGAGGGAAAAATTCCATAACATTGGTATGCACTTAATTGTCACAGGAAGATAAAATTACAAAGTTTAGTAATACTGTAAAAATGTGTGGTGTTATGCAAAAACTTAAAATTACATGCTCTCTAATGTAAAATTATTACACTACAGAGACTCGCAAAAGCTTTCAAACTACGCAGTATAATCTCACAGTTAAGAGCTTTAAGTTCTGGTTAAGAAAGAATAGAATCACAAATGCCATTGCTGTCAGGACCAAACAGTACAACAGACTCAAGGTGAACTTTTATGTGGGTTTTGGACACATTTCCTATGCTAATGATGTTGATAAAAGCATAAGACATAATAATTGTGTTTTCCATGCACAGCTAAGGTAATAATAGCAAAGCCAGAACAAAGGAATGACCATTAATATATGGACAAATAGATATGCACAAGTCACTGACACCTTCCAACCAATGAGAGAATAAGAAAAGTCAGATGCTCACTCTCCTGAATTCATCAAGCTAAAGCCATATATCTCCCATCTTATCAAGAATACCACCATCCAAAGCTTATCTGTGGAAAGATTTGATTGCAGGAAAAGACAGACTATTCAAGAACCAAATAAAATGTCAAAAGGCTAACGGGTACCTTATACTGAATGTTCTTGTTTTCCAGCATGATAGCAGGGACTTACTGGCCAGCAGAGCCATTTAACACAGAGCCAGCTGATCAATATGCATTGCATGAGCAGGCACTGGTTTGGAGTTCTCACTCTGTGTCATTGAAGAGATTAAGCAAATCCATGAACAGAAAATATGTATTCTGGATGACACAGACCTAATACACTTTGGCCCTTTGTGGTCCCTACTATGAAATTCTAGGACTCCTCAAGATTATCCACTGAACTGCAAAGTAGATCCATGCTTTTTCAAGCTGGTGAAAGCAGTGAAAAACATGTCCCCTTGACAAAATGAACCAAATAGCATTTCTGAAAAACATGTGATTATAATCAATATAAAGAAAATGTAGTTCACCAAGATCCAGAAATTCAGGCTTGTGTCTAAAGTGTCCAAATTTGTCGTCTAAATGACAATGGCAATCTGCAAAAAATACAACTACTTTTTAAACTTGTGGGCAACCAGTTGTCAAATGGTGGGCATGCATAAAGATACCTAAATTTGGATAGTTATCTTACAGGCAAAAAAATTATTTAAAGTCCTAGTCTAAGATGTGAATCATGAAAATCTTCACAAGGGACTTTCATGTAAATAACCCTCTCTGTATTTGCACTGTGCCAGGAAATGCAGCACACCCGAAAGATAGGTACTGAAAGCGCCATCTGGAACCTTGGAGTTTGGAGAACTTTCATTGTGAAAATTGTTAAACCGCAACTCTGCAGATTTGATTCACATTTTAGGGGAATGCAGCTGTTGTATTTTGGTTATCGTACTGATGTTTTTCTCTTTATTTTCTGTTAAAGTTGTCAGAATTTCTAACAACATTTGAATAATTATTTCATGAAACCTGTGGATCTGTCTTCTATACTGCGGCATTCCAGGCAGGTGTCCTGATCACTGCCCTAAGATCAGCTACTCTGTGTCACTCAATATTTCAATTCAATTCTAAATGAAGAAGCTGCAAAAGGGTATGCAAGGGAACAACTTTTTTTTTTTCTTTTTAAATTTACTTTTTCCTTTTTGTCATTTTTCAGGACCAGGCTTCTTGGGATCTTTTCTTTTTGTAAGGAAACCATGAAGGTTTAACCTGGAACTGTGGCTTCACTGAGTTCAAATGATAGTGGGCTGAGTTCACAGGAGAAAAATTAAGTGATGTTTACGAAATAGACCACTTCTGGCACAGGACATCAGTGAGAAACAAATGGTTGGAGGATGGGAGAGTACACAGGTGAAGCATTGTCTGTAATTGCTCTGACCTTACACCCTGCTGGTTTTGCTCACTGTCAGAATAAAAACCTGAGGTAAATTGACTTGTGGTCTCATTGTGCATGGCCCACTTTTATATCCTTAAGATTAAGATGGTCAATTGACCAAGACCATAAGAAGACAATTTTCTGAGCTTCCAGGTCTTGGCCAGTATGAGCATGTTATCTCAATTCCTCTGGCCCACTACCTTTTCCAGCTCTCTGTTCAAAGGCATTGATCAGAGTGCTCAAATGACAAGACAACGAGTGACAAGGCAACGAGATCACTAGAAGAACCTGAAGTGACGGAAAAGAACGTGACACAATTAGAATTATTTTTCTAAAGCACGACGAGAAACACTGATAAAGATCGCAGAAAGCTTTTCATTGCAAAAAGAAAGGGTGAAGAGGTGGAATGCGTAACTTAAAACATAGTATTCCATTCTCAGTGCTCTGAAACTGTAAAAGCTTTTATGAATAAATGCTAAAAAATTTATGCTGCCCTTTTTCCCTTTCTAGTGTCTGGATAATTTTGGCTAAGGGCCTGGAAAATAAACTGTAATTTATTATCTATTGGCATCTTGGATAGAGTGCTTTGTTATTTTGCTTAGTTGTTTTTCACTTTTTTTCATGGAAGAAAAAGGAAAGATTGTCTTCTCTCCTGTAATACTTTTGGAAGAAGAAAATGGTGTTTTTTTCAAGGTGATACACTTTTATTTCATAGTTGAATGCCAAATTATGAATTAAACTTGATATTTTGTTTCATGTTCATTCCTGATGAAAGTATGTTTGCTATTAAACACCACAGCTTTCTGTGAAATTTAATTTCTGTTGCAATCTCTAAACATTGCTATACAGAATTCTTACCTTTATGAATAAATTCATGGACTACTATACCTCACTTTTTCATATCTACAAAGAAGGGATAATAATACTTATCTATGTGACAAATGAGATAAGCAGTTTATTTATTAAAGTTTGTAAACTGCTTTGAGATCATTCAATAAAAGTTCCTATGCAAGGAGCAAAGTAATAGCAGCCATATCATAAAAGAAACTTAACTTTTAATTTTGCCAAAATTCCCTGGGTGAAAAGTGAACTCTTTAATGAGATTAAGGACATGTTTGAGATTGGCAAATTTATAAAACATCCCCAGTGGATACAAACATGTAAAGTTGTTTGGCATAACTTTTTGCAATTTCATTTATAAATGTAATTGGATATTACGAGACTATGAATAGTGGAGAAATGCAGTTGGGAGTTCCAAGTCATGAATTACATGTCATATTTTATCACACAGACATAAGCTGCTGTTGTTGTGGCATTTGAATGTGTTTTTTTTCAGGTGATTTATTAGCATGTGTGAAGTATTTGACTAGCATTATGCTTATTCATTAATCTCATAACAGCCCTTTGATCATATAGTAACATAATGAAATAATTGCAACACTGATTTAAATGTGTATTTTTTCCTATCTGAAGCAACCCTAATATGCCAGAACATTTGTAATAAGTTTTTAAAGTATATGAAGACTCAAAAGTATACTATAACCTAGGATAAAGAAGTATACCTCTGACTGGTTATTAGTTTTCCCTGTGTGGACGGATGGAAAGTAGTACTATGCTGTTTCCTCCTAGGAATGAGAGGTGGGTCTCATTTGAAAGGAACCCTCATTGTCTGAGATTACCTAATATGTGTTTTGATTGAATAGTTCTATGCTACCCAGTTATGAACAGCAGCCTCAGAATAGCAAGACTGGATCCATTCGCATTTTGACAGTTTTCTGTTGATATTTTTTCCAATCTTCAGAGCAAAAAATTTAAGGAAACAATTTAAATTGCCATGCAATAAAAGTCTACAGCTTTTGAGTATTTGCAACTTTCATTTGCTATAAAATAAGTATTAAATACTTTCAAGCATCGTTACACCTAAGAGTTGTCTCATACGAAAAGAATAAAATTAAGATCCACAAGATCATGACCCAAAGCTGTGTTATTTATATATACCTATCTGCAATATATCCTATAAACTTAACTATGATTGTTCCTGTGCCGTGGCCAAATGTTGTTTCAATGTACAAAAATAAGTATAACAACGATCTTGCCGGATTCCAACACTATTATTATTAATAACAGTCCTGATGTTAATAGTCATGCTAATCTTGCTGTTTTAGCAGGAAAACAATCCTGGTCTTAGGAGTAATTTTGCAACTCAGGAATCCAGTCTTGACCTCAGAATCAGTCTACGTCTTTAGGGTCAGCTGAATTGTGCCCAGGGTGGATTTAATGCTGGCTCCGTCTGACACAGCTTTGAGCAGCAGTAGTCTTTGTTCCTGTTCACAGAGTCAGGTGCCCCAGCTGGCTGGCTCAGATGCTTCTCCTGATGCTGAGTGTTGGGGTGAGGGTGAGATGGCTGCTTGTCTCACTTCTTCATCAATATTTGCTCTGTCAGAGTTGCAGAAGGCCTTTTTGTCCTCTTAGTCTAGACACCAGAAGCCTGAATATCTTCTTACACTCTACCAGCATAAAACGACCTCAAAATGTTCTTAAGTTACAGTGAGCCATATATTTACTCCCAGTTTAAGGTTCTTTGTAAGGCTTGCTGCCAGAGTAGTGTCAAATGTAAATCAGAACCAATATAAAAAAGGGTTCATTTAACATACAGTGCTGAGTAGAAACTAGAAAGTTTAGAATTAAGTAACAGTTTTTTTTCTCTCTTACAAGACTTTCATATCAATTTATGTTCTGATCACTAATGCATGCCCCCGTGTTATTAAGGGAGTATATTGCCTCCTCAAGATGGTTTTTTCCTTGTTCATAGTTTTAAACAATTTTCTGAACCATATTAGTTTCACTGAAAAAAATAACATCTTTTTATATAAAATTACAGAATTACATTAAAAGAGGAAAATAATTGCGATCATAGAAGGGAATTTTTGAATTTGCAGCCACTGTTATTATCTATCTGACTGTGTTACTCATTTACAACAAATGTTATAAGATCATGTTTCATGGTATGACTTGAAGGCAGACTACAGTTTGGTCTTTAGTCTTTTGTTATTAACAGCCTTGTTAATCTAGCTGGATAATTGAACAAAGAAGCTGAGATCTATATGACAATGGGAGAGGGGCTTTTTTTCCATGGTTTGTTAGACACACATCAAATCTTAACAGTGTCCCATGACACCAGCTTGTTGTAAATGGATCTAAATACAGATTATTTTCCATCTAGTTATTCTAACAGGATTCCTAGAGCTAATTGTCAGGCTTTAACTCCTCTGGGAGATTCTGTAGTCCATGCCTCTTAAACCTTGCAGCTAGTTCTGTGTGTATTTGCCCTCCTTCCTTCCCAGTGATTAATATCAATTTCTTCATGGGACTCGTGGTCTTTTCTTGGCTTGCCATCGTAAGAGGGTAAAGTATATTAAAAAAAAAACAAAACACAAAAAACAAAGAAACCAAACCTCTTAAAAATGTGATTTTATGACAATTTACACTCTTCTTTTGAAAAGACATTTGACCCTGATGTCAAGTCTTTAAGAAGACAACAAAATAAAGCATTTTTAGAAGTCATTTCTTATCTCTGAATTTACTTTTGCTTTTAATTGTTGAAACTGGGAAGAGTTCTCTTATTTTCTCACTTTCTGTTTCTTACATGAGGGTAATGCATCCTCCTGTGACAAAGAACGTGTCTCTTCCTGCTGTCTGCCTTTGGTCTCTCATTAAAATACCCAGAATCTCTTTTTAATTGTGTGTCTCTTATTTATTGTATCATAATGATTCATCAGCTGTTCTGACACTTGATTCCAGTAAGACAAATTCACATAGGCAGTACTGTGTGATTGTTTCAGAATTTGTTCAGTTTAAATATGAATCCTGATTGCCTTCCACCATAACTACCAGGTGCAAAAAATTTTCTCAGATATATTTGAGGAGAAGGTTGTGGAAAGGTTCAACATGAGATGAAGGAGATCTGTGAAGGAATTCCCAGGAAGTAATGAAAGACAGACTGAGGCAGACAGATCTGCTCCATTACATCAGATAAAGTTTAGAAACAAAGGGTTTCATAGGTACTTAGTAACAGCTACCTTCAAAATATAAAGATACATCTTATTTTAACCTTGTCTTAAGTGGTTTTATTCCTCCACAGACTTTGGGGAAAATGTTTGTTCATCATTCAGATGACCCCTATATGCCTGTTTCATTACCTGATTTTTTTCCCTTTTCAATATAAGGTTGTCTTTTTCCCATTTTATCTGATTTTAAAAGCTTCTTATTTTTAAATATTTTCCTAAGGTTGCCTTTATTGCAACTTCAGCCCATTTATCTCCAACAGATACTGGAAATATTTTCTTACTTTCTTCTTTCTAGTACTGTTATATTAAAGCCTGTTATCAGGTTTACCCTTTGTCTTTTCTACTCTAGTCTTCTAATCTGCTCCCTTCTGGTGTCTGGTCATGCCTTGCAATTGAATTCTAATTTTGTAGACTGCTGAGGAAATTTCAGATCAGCTGTTTGGATAATCAACAAGTCTTTAGTACCTTCTCTTCTAAAAGTAACTAAGGGACATAACATACTTCTGCATCTTCAAGTCATAGATTCTTAGTTCTTTAAAATTTTCATTTCTGAAATAAAAGGTTTCTTCTATATTTCCATATGTGAAATTTTTTCATTATGTTGAATTAAGCCTGCTTGCAAGCTGTCCTGTTATTCTCACATTCACAGTCAGTTCAGCTGTCACAGAAGGCAGATGTAGGCACTTTCCTTCGGTTTGTATCATCCACATTTCACATCCAAACTTTCCTTTTATAATTTTGTATTTCTTTGATAATCAATATTATCCTGTAGTTTGTTTTTTGTTTGTTTTTTTTTTTAATCAAAACAGATGCTGAAAGAGTTCTCTGCTGTAAACTGAGACAGGAGGCCAAGTAATTCTTAGATTTCTTCAGGTGTATTGGTGATTTCCTGTCATTGATTTGGCTTCATTCTCTATTCTTTGCTTCCTTCTAATTCAAATGATTTAACCACTGTTCTCTTCCTGTCTATGCAGTGGCTGTAGAAGCAGACTATGTAAAACGTCAACAGTCTTTCAATCTTTCTCTTCCTTTAATACAGTTTTTCAAACACAAATCAATTACAAGTTATTTTCTTCCCAGCTAATTTATGTCTGTGACTAGTGTAATTATATCCAGGGGTGCTATATCACAATCTTTTCATAGCAAAGATGCATTTAAAGGCCATAACATCATAGATTTACTGACCCCAACTCTGATTAGAAAGGAATTTGTTATAGTACTTATACCAAATGAGTCTTGAGATAGACAATAGCCACTTTTTACCAGAGTTCAAGATTTTGTTGCCTACTTTCTCTAAGTCTATGCAGTAGGTGTTTTTATTCCATAAATCACTCATTTTTTCCCTCCATCTTCTTGCTTGTTTGTGATATCTGTCTGTACTTTTTGTCTTTTATTTACACCTTTTTTTTTTCTTGAATATATCTGTTACTTTTAATTCAAACATTGAAACATTTTGTATCTCTTGCAAGTAGAATCTAGATGGCAATCCCTATTAGGAAGCAAGGTTTCTTCAGACCATTGCATCATACCCAAATGAAGCAACTATAGAACAAGAAGGACTAACTCACTGCTCACTAATGCTGAGAAATTTTGTTACAGTTATGAGGGCACACTTTGGCCTCACAAA